CAAAATTAGATAAAAAATATAATTTGATTCCATTCCCAGTGATGCGAGTCAAGAAACAAAAAACAGTTAACCTTTCATTTAATAGGTCTATTTTCTTTGAAATAATTTCCTTAAAGTTAGGAAAGTTTGGATTTTGTTCCTTTTAAAGGGGAAATAGAGAAAATGTTTAGAGACTGGTAATGTAGTGACTTTTAACTGTGTTGAGCTCAAATTGTTTTTTCAGAGGAATTTCCTAAAAAGAAGTGCAGTTGAACTCAAAGACATTAATTCACAATGGATACATTTTTTAAAATACATATTATTCTCATATACTGAATTATACATGTTATTATACAAGTTTCCAAATTTCACATTTTTACACTTTCAACCGAACTGATTTTCACTCACTAAAATACTCGATATGTAGCTTAGTAATTAATTAGAATAAAATAAATGAAACAAAATGAACACCATCTCCATTTTACCAAAAAATAAGGCATTAACAAAAGACATTCAAAGTCAAAGTAGATGGCATATCCAAGGCTGCATAATATACGTACACTACATGCATACTGTATATGCATGTACAGGATATCCCAGGAAGTATTCTTCCATATCTTAATGTCAGAAGTACTTGCCTGTGCTCCCATGAAGAGTTGTGAGCTCGATCAATGCCACCTCATAGAACATTTTCTCAGCCTGGATGAACTGGAGGGCCTTCTCATCTGTTTATATAGGTGAAGGATCAGTCTCAGTTGTCAACAGGATTAGTCAGTTGTTGAAGTCACAAACAGCCTTGCTTTTTGTTTTTTTCCACCCCTCTCTCGAATAACCCCACCAGGCACACAGACTGTGTAGTAATCCAAAGGGGATTGATGATCTTGAGGTCTGGGTTTTGCAAATACAGATTTCAACTGCTGGTGTCTGTGTCATTGCTTATCAGCTGTTATCCACAGTTGTTTGGTGTTTGTTCAGCATTTCAACACGTTTCAAATGCTGAATAAAACACAGTGTAGTTTATCTGATTACACCCCATTGTATCAAATCATATTCCTATTTTAGTACCTTTAGTGTTCTGTACAGAATCCTTTTGATTGAGCTGAACGTCACTTTTGTTTCCATGAAAAGACACTCTATAAAAAGCATGCTAAAAATAGACCTCTTCACTTTGTCAGAAGCATTCCTACTGAGAGTCCGTCCCACTGTAATATGACACCATTGATGCTTGTCAGGTTAATTTACAGACTAATGGGAAGAAGAATGCTTAAAATAAACACAGCCCTGCCAAACGTCCTACTGAACACCAGATCACCAGTGTGAATAACACTATAAATTATACTTTAGGTATTTCCCTTTATTTGCCAATTATTCTTTAATATATCTCACATAAAACTAAATATCTACAACTTTTATAATGAGGTTGGAAAGATGAGCAATACGTTTTCAGTTAAGCATGAAACTGAAAACCACACCAGCTGGTTTCCATCATTTTGTCAACTGCAGGACAGGCGAGACACAGATCCAGCAGAAAAAACTAGACACTATGCAGTTAAAATCCTATGTACGTATGATCCTCAACAAAAGTAAAGGACAGTTATTAAACAGAAAGATGAAAGACACTACCTCTGATGAGCACCACAAGATACTAGAAAAGATGATGGCTGGCGAGGGCTGGATGTTGAAAAGCTATTAGTGGATGTACATCTGAATAAGTTTCTGTAGAGTACAATAAAAGATGACGTAGCAGGTCCGGTCTTGACAACCTAGCAACTTTAATCTGTGGCATACCACAGATTTTGTGTTTTGGACACATTTTGAGATATGCATTATACCTTCCCCAGTTCCTGGGAGTCAGCTGGCAGCAGGCAATAAGGTGAGTGTGTGGTGGACCATCTGGGAGGGAGGATTAGGGCAACAGCCATCATCAAAGGTCAGTCTACTACTTCTGCCTGCTATTTTTAGCCTGGCTGAACCACAACACAACAGGAACCTCACCCTCTCCAGGGAATGTGTGCCCCACTCTACGCACATCCAAATAAACACAGACACTCACACAATCTCCCCTGAACTGCACTTCTAAACTCGACAAGAACTTGCATTACCACTGGCACCTTCAAAAGGGCACATCTGACCACACGTGCAGCACAACTCTGCTGCGGGTCAACTGAAATGAAGTACACCATCAACTCTAGCCAGTAGAATTATAAATCGTGTGATCAAATATGACTACATGTTACGCTACTGTGACTATGTAATACTACTAGTTATGTACTGCATATCCGCTTTAAGAATGTAAATTTAGGATATGCACGGATTTATATCTCATGTCCCTGTTTATTGGAGTTTAAAGTTAAATTGTCTGGGTCGGCATGCTTTCCAAGAAACGTGTATCAGTAAACACTCAGCAGCCTAAAGAGCTTTTGGCTTTGGACAAAGGTCACTTGTCGATACTGCCAGCTCTGATAATGATACATCAAGCCTTGACTATGTATATTCAGCTTTCTTTCCCAATTGTGGATTGTAGTTTGACCCCATAGAATAAATGTGGAGACACAGCCAATTCCGTTGTCGTGAGCATTTGTGTGAAACCCCAAAGTTCCCATACCCTCTTCCAGTTAGAGCACATTGACCCTTCACCTTCCTCCCTGGAGGACCAAAAACCACAACATCCCTACTTCAGCTGCAATGATGCTCATGAGAACTACGAAAATCAATGCAACTCTTTCTTCCTCTCATTCTATTGAAAACGACCTCATGCTTTTGTCCGCTGCGCACAATGATATTATTAATGAAGGCACCATTAGATGCAATTCTTACTGTATTACGCTATTGAAAATATCACGTTTGTGATTAAATTATGAATACATAAACACTTTTTTAAATATTTTGAATTGCCTCTCTTCTGCTGACCTACTAAACAATGTGAGATGTAATTACATTTTCTTGACTGTAAGCTCACACCAAAAGTAAAATAATGTTACAAGGTAAGTAGCTCTACCATACAAAAAAAGAACACAGTTTGACATGACAAGACATGTTACTATTGACGACTTTATGTAAGTGTAATTAAGTGCTGTATGTCAAAAGATTTAACCCCTTCATGGTAAACGCCCCTCTCGAGTAGATACCTTTACATGCTGAGAAGTGGCCTACTGATGGCTGATGATGAAGTGAAGCTCAGCAAATCGACCTATTTTGGAAAATGGACAGTAAGGGGTACAGCCTTGCTGAGGTAGATAACCTGAGCTGGCAAGTTAAGTGTTGGTGTGTCTCAGTAACGGTGAGAAGAGCCACAGAGGTAATATATCCTGCAACGTAACACCTCTCCATTATCTCTATGTCCTACACTCCTATAGTTTATAGAAGCAGTGAAGTGGCGATGAGCAGGCTCGTCAGTGCAGATGCAGGTTAATTAGTGCTCTTCCACTCTGTTGTGCAGAGATAAGAGCGTGCAAATCCTCTTAAGAGACAGACACACAGCCTGAGCTGCACACACGTAAACGTATGGCATTCTGGGACAAATGTGTGATGGACTCGCCCACAGACATCCACTTATCCCCCTCAGTTTACACTGCTTTCTATAAAGGGTCTGCGTCCTTCATTGTGATGGAATTTGCCACCCCTTCAACCACAGACAATCATGCTCACCTCACAGAAAGAGAATGCTAGTGCTATAGATAGCCTGCGTGCTAACACTTACAGGTTTGAAGGGACGGTGAAAGTTAAAGCGTTGGATGTGAAATGGGGAGTGAAGCTTTCCCTTAGTTAGTAAAGGATACAATTCTTTTCAGTGATGAACAGTTCTGCAATCTGTAAATCACAGACAAGGGACATGGTTATGCATGAAATAGTCAATTACCAACATAATTCCCGGTTGTGTGCGTGCATGATGTCATGTGTGCTGTCATAACAAGTAATTCTGCTCTCCTCGCAGCACCATCGGTCGGGTCAACATTGTCCCACACGTTCCAAAGTTCTGGTGTCGAGGCTTTGTTTTGACATCAGGGACATTCCTTCAGGCATTACTAAACAGAATTAAAAGTGTTGCCGTGCCTTTGTAGGAGAGCTTTGAAAAGGACCCCAGTATGTAACCCGCTAAGACTTTGTGACCTGAAAAATAGCAAATCATAGCCCACACACAATGGGACGGACTTTGACTGGATACTACAGTATTTTTAACAATGTGACCAGTCGAATAACACCGTTACTGTATGAGAGTGATGCGTCCGATACCTCATTTAGCAGCAGGCACACTATGAGTCCTACTCAGAATGAAATTATCTTACAGTGTCAACACGGGCACACATGATTGACTGTGCTGTAAAATTTGACATTGGTGTTGGTGATACCAAGGTTGAATGTGTCCTGTGGTATGTGACACTTTATGATGATCTGAAGGAGAAGTGATGCAAATGTGTCAACACAGCTGTGCAAATACATGATACAGCAGATTTTGTGAATGCATGGAATGAACATGCATGTTGGTATATAAGTGAACGACAAAGAAATGTTATGTTGTGTATGCAGTCTTCAGGCATCTGGCTCACCTGGTGTAGGCAGTTGGGCAAATAGGTGAAGCTCTGCACATGGGTCAGTCCCAAGAGGCAGCTGAGGAAGCAGTGGAGGGCGGCCTGATACTCCCCCTGCTGCTGGAGCTGCTGTCCCAGCTCAAACAGGCCCTCCCTCCCCCTGTTCAGCATCCCCAGTCCCAGCCAGAGACAGCGCTGCCTCCCATCAGAGCTCAACCAGCCGACGTTCCTCTCTTCGCCCCTCCACTGAAGCACCACAGGTAGAAAGAAACAGCCACACACAGAGTGAAAGATTTTAAAAAAAAAATGCAGCTGCTCACATAAACACAGACAGAGAGGAGCCAGAAGGAGGAGTGAGCAGCACAGCTTCCACTCAGTCTCGTCTGAGCACTGTAAGTCAAGGACAGGTGGTAAGAAGCAGGCTGAGGGAGCTACGGCGACTCACATAGAAAAGATCCATTCCCCTCCCTCCTCCCAGGCTGCACCGGGAAAGGAGGACAGAGGAAGTTGGGGAGTATTTGCTGTTTGAGTGGCAGAGCTGTTGACCAATCCCTGCTCTCCTCATGTACAGTAGCTCTGCCAGCATGTGCTTAACACACTGGATCTCTCTTCAGTCCTTGAATTTGGAAATTGTAACACTGTAGATATTGATGATTAAACCAATTCAAGTGTGCACATGTCCTGTGATGCATATCCAAACGTAGTCTATATTAAGACTTGCATTCATCCAGCTTGACCTAATTTTCCCTGCTACTGTGAATTCACAGAGCAGTGCATTATGTATAGACACAGTACAGTGTGTGAGAGAACCATTTTATGTCTTACTGCCCTACTTATGATTTATAAATGAGAAGTGCATAAGACGTTTGCACCAACAAGCAGCAACTAGAATAAATGCTGTGTGAGGGGCGTTTCACATTACCTCAGAGAAAGCAAGCTTTCCTACATTCTTTAAAGCACACCAGAGAGCTGACGCAAACACAGGGTCATTAGGAACAGCCACTGTACTGTATGAGAGAGAGAGAAAGCACTCCTCACTATCCAAACAAGGACGACAAATATGTATTCACAAGGAGTGCCTCCTCTGGATGTGTGCTCACTTCCCTTCACACTCTGCTAATCAACATTAAAGTGAGGCCAATCTTTGCCTGGAGAGAGAGAGAGAGGGAACGGAGAAGAAGAGATACGACCACGTCACACGATCCGCGAATGATCCAGAGGACCATGAATGGGTCTCGACTTTGAGAGCAGCACTCCTCCCCACCATCGCTCCACTTGAACACAAGCGTAGTAGCTGGAGGAAATGCATGGGGGAAACACAAAGCAAATGGGCAGAGTCAGTCTCCATTAGTGTCCGATGCACCTAGCTAATCTAGATGGGATTTTAATGGTTGTGAATGGCAGTGGATGGGGACCAGAGAGCATTAAACTTGCACTGGCAGGTCAGACTCAGGGAACTGTGAGAAGTGCTCATTTTGGACTAACAGCACCTTGAGAAGTGTGGGGGACTTGATTATGCTGATTCAGGGTTGCTTTATCCTCTCCAACTGGAGTACCGGGGAACACAGACAGGTGATTGTGTTCACTTTACTGTGCCGTCAATAGAGTTGAAGTGGAATGCAGCGAGAAAGTAAGCAAAGCTTCTGATGTGATTGAGTTAGAAGGCCACTGGCTGACTCTCAGTGTTCAGTCCTAATTGAAAAAGAGTGGGCTCCATCTCCACATTATAGGCCAGTCAAGCTGAACAGAAGCACATCAGCTGAGAGGAGGCGTCACGGGACGATCTCGTCGTCATGTTAACAACATTTGACAACAACCGTGCAACAGGAAACCCAGCCAGGCAGGATTATAACCCTTTCAAGCTGAAAAAGCGTGATGACGCATCATTTCTGATACGATAACAAAATATCAATATGTATTTCAAGAAGCCGTTGTACTCGTTATGTTGGGCGGTTAAGTACAGATCTAGTTACTTTGAGAGAGGTACAATGATACAGAATTTTTGGAAATCACCCTTTTTTTTTTTTAAACTTATGTATTAATTGTATTGATGTTAATATGTAGCATCAGACACACAAAAAAAACCAGACTAAATTAAATGAAATACATCCAGCAAAAAAGTAGGAGGAAATCAAAATGTGTAAATGTGTAAAAAATGACTGAATTAGTTCATTCAGTTGTCTATACTTTAAAGCAGATACTGTCAGGGTTATGGGATTATTTTTGGGATATCTGTGAATGAATCCACACACTTTTAAATGCGTCTGAATTTTCCTGATATTTGAAATGTAAATGGATGGAGAACCTCATAAGTAGCAGATTTGAAATCTGTCACAAGGTGACCATTTCCTGTAACACTTTGTAAAAATGAACATTTATTGGGTATGTAAAATGTAAAACTACGTATATACTAGGTAAAACACTACTGCATTCATACAGATTCACAATACATCATGCAGATCAATATGTCAAAGCTGTCCACTGTCTATAGCGTATGTCATAGACTTCCAAAATGTTAGCATTAATGTAACTCTTGGCCCACTTTTGACTATTGTCACTATGTGTCAACTTCACATTCTTAGCTATTTTATAGCATATTTCACACTGTGTTTTAATACTGTTTGGAAAGTCCCTGTAGTATTCTACGTTGGCTATAACTTTGCATATCATAGATTGGAGAACTGTTCAGCAGTAGTGATGATTTACATTTGACCAACCGCCCTGTGCTTTTCTAACACGTAAATATAAAATAGTTTCTTGGAAGATTGACTAATTTGATTTAGTGGCACCACAAGGCTGCAGGTCATTGACTCACATCGTGCTCCAAACACCGTTCCGTACATGTACTGACAGTCATTTTGACAAAGATATTGACTGATGTTCGCTACTCTACAGCGCAAGAAAGGAAACCTACCTGTAATTGGAATATTGATCGTCTGTCTTACGGAGTTGGTGGACAAATACATCAGTGTGATCAGTAAACACTCTCTACGGCCCCCGATCCCAGGAAAGCCAATACAGCAGACTAATGCAAATGAATGGTGAGCAGGATGAAACAGTGACCCATCAACAGATATAAATCATCAGCAGGTTATTGCAATGCAGTCAACCTCAATATATTCAATTTGTTTTAATGCTTTGTTTACTATGAATCTACACTGTGCAATGAGTACATATTCAGCTGGTGTAAACATATCACAGTATGCACCCAGTAAATGACTACAAAACTTTATCAGAGGGTGAAAATCAAATGTGGCATTCTCTTTTGTTCTGAAAATCTCCTCTTGCTGTGGATATTTGCATTCCTCTTCTTCTGACTTACCATAAGGTCATTAATCCTAGATGATTTCCATGAACCATTTTGGATAGAATACATTTTGCATTGTCCAGCAGGTTTGCAGAGGAACATTGCCTCTCTTGTGTCCTCGTGGCATCTCATGACACTGCGCATGGCCCTACATCAGCATATACTATTTATATTTCCTGCATTGTGCACATGCAGCCACTCTATGCAATTTTTCTGTAGCCTAGAGCCTCCGGTATGGAATATTTTACTCTGCATGAGTGACAGCAGCTACGTCCCTCGCTACAGTACGCCAACTCCAATGATGGAAGAAGAAGATCAAGTACTCTTTTTGATATAAGGCACCACAGAGATCCTGCAGAGCTGAGTCTTCCGAGTCTAAAAGTTGAAAAAAAAGCACCACTGTTACAGACATGATACCTTGCACCCTCGCTATGATATACATATTCTGTGCCTGTACTCTGGATGTTCGATTCTCTAGCCTTGGCCAACTGTTTAAAACCCTTCCACTCCCCATCCCGCTAAGATTCAGGCTCTGGCAGTTTAATAGTCTTGGACCTGACACCACCAGCTACTGAAAGGCAGTTTATGACCTCCATGTAATCAGCAGTAAATGCTGCCGCCATCTGTCTCTTTTTACTCAATTACCTGACCCAGTGACTTTTACTGACAAACACTGTTCAGGTAAACAGTAACGCAAATCCCACAGCTAAGATTATGACACATCTATACATCATCTTGCACTCTTTATGATTTCTTTTTGACCAGCTCTCATACCAACAGTGCTTCAGTTATGAGCAGAACATTCTAGTATGAATCATAGATCCTGTATAATTACGGCTTTGGGGGCGTTACAACTTGAATCCTCATTACTGATTAATTGGGAAAGGGTCACATACAGTATATACTACACACTCAGCATGACCAACACTGTGAATCACAGGCTTTAGAAAACAGTCTCTTAACTGGGTTTATAATGATTCATCACAGTATGTTAAAAATCAATTCATTAAGAACTGTTGATTAAGGAATGCCTCATACAGCACCTTTGCAGGGCTCATTTTCCTTTGCGCCACTCTTGCACACCCTAGTGGACAATTTGGGGATGGAAAAGAGTCTGTCGTTTTCAACAAAGCTTTGTGAAACAGGGTGAAATACTGTGCATCTCTGTATTTAAAGAAAAGTCTCATCTCAAAACATTTTAATGTCAGTCAGTTTTTTATATATGGTTCATTACCACAAATGCTTGTTGCAAAACAGAATAAAAAAAGAGATTATGTAGCAAAAGATGAATATTGCAGTATTTAGATGCTGATGATGCTGATATAAGCAGTGGTGGAAGAAATATGACTTAAAGGGGTTTTATCATGAAAAAAAACATTTGGGTATCTGGAGTGCCTACCAGCCAACAAACTGTGAAATAAGACAACCCAGTCAGTTTTGTGTGGCCTACATCATAAACCGTGATTTCAACAAGCCATTCAGATTTGCCTCCTGTTCTTATCTCACATGCAAGCTCATTTGAATATACCGCCCCCCATCTGAGTTTCTCCACATACAGTTTGACAACTACCTTTGCAAAGATGAGCCATATTTTTACCGTAAATCAATCAGAGCAGATTAGGCTTTTTCGGGAGGGGGCTTAAAGAGATGTTCACTAAAACGAAGCGTTTCAGATAGAGGTTGAATACATACATACAGGTATATTCAGACTGACAGAAGGAGAACATCTTGTTTTTTGAACATTAATGTAAACATGTTCTAGTATAAACCCCAAATACAAGTATGGACCTGACAATGAGCATCGGCATCTCCTGGAAAAGTAGCAATGCCACAATGTAAAAACACCCTAAAGTAGAAGCAAAAGTCTTGAATATACGGAGTAAAAGTACATAAGAATTACCAGCAAAATGTACTTAAAGTACCAAAAGAAAATGTACTCATTATACAAAATAGTTCCTTTTAGAATGTTAAATTAAAGCTAATAATCATCAGTTAATGTGAGTAAAACAGGTAAAACTGTAATCACCTGAGAGAAGTGATTGATGCTTTAGATCCTTATAGGCACTGGTGTCTCATAGCCCTCTTTGCCTATTTTGAGAGATCGAGGCCACCTGACTGCAAAAAGGAAGTCAGGGTTTCGTTTCTCTGTGTGGGAGGTTAACTGAGAGACAATATAATTTACTTC